GGATGTCGCCATCCAGCAGGCAGCCCTGCAAGAGGCACAACTACAGCAGGCATTAGGAAAGATAAAAAGGGAGAAAGAGATGATGATTAGAAGAAGAGCCAGGATGCAACAGAGAGGGGCAGACATAGAGGAGTTAGAGACGATGGACCTGACGCATATGGATGAGGATGTGAAGGTAGTTAGGAGGGCCCTGCTAGGCGTAATTGAGATGCAGGAGCATCAAACTACCCTCCTTCAGGACATTCAACAAAGCCTAGCCGTGTTGGCAGAGCGTGCTCAGGCAGCACCATCACCAGCAGGGCCTGGTGCCTGGCCCGTGCCATATCCTCCTCTTTCTGTTCCACCGTTCACTGGGGTACCCCCATATGTAGCCCCTTCATCGGTTGCTATCGTTTCCCTGGGCATGCCTCTGTCAGGAGGGGTAACAACAGGGAGTAGTTTGCAGTTTCCTATTCAGACAGTGTTTAATCCAAGTCCGTCACAGGTTGCAGTCACCACGCAGCCTGTTGTCTCATAGTCAGTGCAACCTCACGGCACACAGCCCCAGCAGCTAGCACAACAACCTGTATCGCCGGGTCCACAGCCCGGGTTGGTGCAGGGACCGGGACAAAGTCAGTGGGTTCCAAAGACGGCCATCGCCGCTCCCAAACCTTTTACAGGGGACAAGAGAGGCGAAGACCTCGACACTTGGTTGAGGGCAGTGTCGGTCTACGTCAGGTGCAAACTCACCTTGCCACACGAAGAAGTGCTTGTGGCTGCTTCCTACCTGGAGGGTAGTGCAGCGAGATGGTAAAGTGGGTTAGTGCAACTCCAGGGGTACAGTCATGACTTTCGCTCTTGGGCAGCCTCTCAAAAATTGGAGGACTTCCTGAAAATGGTGGAAGACAGGTGGCATGATCCGCAGGAGGCTCAAAAGGCCACTGATGCGATCCTGACACTACACACGCGGCAGTTTAAGTCAGTAAGGGATGCCACCAACGCTGTAGAGCATTTGATTTGTGTTCCAGGGGTACGCTATGAACCCCAGGTCCTGCTAACTTCGTACCTGAGGACCTTATCTCTGCCGCTCAGGAACCAGTTGGCAAAAGAGGCCAACATTAATATGCACAACTTTCCTTCGTTCAGCAAGGTGGCCCTAGACCTAGAAGTAAAGATAGGGCATGGACAGGCACCCACTACGGAAGGGAGAAAGAAGACACTGCCTCCCAACGGGAAGGCGAAAGGTCGCATCATGTTTGTCGACAACGATGGATCAACCATCGAGTTGGACGGCAACTGCCAGGAGGGAGTAGGTGCAGAGGCGGGTGGCGAAACTTCAGAGGGTGGAGTAGTCGCCGCCGTACAGCAAAAAGGTAAAGGGACCGGTAGACGCCCTAGGGGATCCCGGTCAAAGAGTCAAACAGACCCCAATGCTCCTTCATGGGAGAAAGCGGGTCTAGCTGAGGACGTGTGGAGAGATCGGTGGGCACGACAAGCGTGTATCAAGTGTGGCCAATATGGTCATAGCATGTACAAGTGCCGCAATAGGAAGGTCACCGAGAAGATCCCGCCCACTATGGGGTCGGCAGTAGGATCCTCTCAAACCGTTGGTAGCAACGTTGCTAGTTCTTCAGGCAGTGCTCCGGGAAACACGTCCGACCAGTAGGGATAGTAGTTGTTCCTACTAGGGTCGCGATGGTGGATTCACCCTCACCTTCGCGAGAGATGGCCCAAGCTACAGACTC